TGCCGACCCCTGGCGTAGTGGGTGGGATACTAATACTAATACTAATTAATAATTTATTTTTTCCCTGCCTCTCCCCATGGATTTAGGTGGGGAACAACAACAAATAAACAAAGCACAACATCAATTGAAACACATTAATTAAAACACGCAACAGTTGAAAAGGACAAATAAGACATTCTAAAACTACGGTATCCACATTTAAAATTCATAATTTAAAATTCATCATTTAAAAGAATAAAGAGAAAGGGATAAGAAATAAGAGTAAAGGATAAGAGAAAAATGCTTCCAAATGGAAATAAAAGACCTGCACAAAACTCACAAGAATAATCCCCCCCCCTTTTCTGTAAGGACATTTCTGATTGGAGAAGGTTTTGAGATGTAGTTCTAATACTTTTGAAAAGGAATAGTCAAAAAGTTGGGAGGGAGAGGACACATGTATGGATTTTATATTCCCTCTTCCTAGTGTAAAAGAAGAAAAAATGTATCTAATTTAGGCGTGATTGATAAAATACTCAAGGGGTACCATTCAATAGTTTTCTTCATCTTTTTACAAGTTGTGCAAAAAGCAAAGGGAGATAAGAACAAAAGTAGGAACACAACTGTCTAATGTTTGGCACACAGGGATAAGGAGAAATACTACAATGACCAAGGCAGAGAAATAGAAGACAACAACAAAAAGGGAAAAATTAGAGACCTCTATCAAAATCCAAGAAATTAAAGCCAAGTTCAAACCAAGGGCAGTGATGCTCTATGGAGAAAAAAAGAACATAATACAGGAACAAGAACAAACAAACAAATAAATAAATAAATAAATAAAAAACGCTGGAGGCAATACACAGAAGAGTTATACAAAAGAGATGAAGGAATGAATGATATTTGGAATGAGAAGCCATATGAAGACAAACTACAAATTCTATGAAGTGACGTGGAATCTGCAATAAAGGAAATGAGGAAAAAATAAATCACCGGGAACAGATGATATCCCAATTGAACTGCTACAGTGCCTACAGACAGATGCAACTTTAGTACTAACTGAAATATGCCAACAAATATGGAAAGTGATGGCCAACAACTGGAAACACTCGATATATATAACAATCCATAAGAAAGGAGATACAAAAGACTGCAGCAAGTATAGGACAATAGCATTAATCTCACATGCAAGCAAAATAATGCTCAAAATTGTGCAGCATAGACTCCAACCATATTTGGAGAGAGAAATTCCAGAGGTGCCAGAAGGATTCAGAAAAGGAAGGGGCACTAGGGATTACATTGCCAACATATGATGGGTAATGGAGTGCAGCAAAGAATTCCAAAAAAGAATCAGCATGTGTTTCATAGACTACAGCAAAGCATTTGATTGTATAGATGGAGGAGCCCTGGTGGTTAAATGCCTGTACTGTAGCCACTCACTCATAGACCACAAGGTTGCGAGTTCAATACTAGCCAGGGCTCAGGCAAGACTCAGGCCTGCATCCTTCTGAGGTCACTAAAATGAGTACCCAACTGTTGGGGGCCAATGAGCTTACAGTAGACACCCCATAGTGCGGTATGAAGCAGTATATAAATGAAGCTGCTTTGCTTTGCTAGATCACAAAAAACTGTGGAATGCACTCAAAGACTTGAGAGTGCCATTACATCTGATAGTCCTGCTGAGGAATCTGTACCAAGGGCTAGAGGCCACCATCAGAACATAATTTGGGGAAACAGAGTAGTTCCCAATAGGCAAAGGGGGTCAGGCAAGGCTGCATCCTATCACCCTACTTGTTTAACTTATATGCTGAAAACATAATAAGAAAAGCAGAATTAGAAACAGAAAAAGGAAGAGTTAAGATAGGAGGAAGCAACATTAACAATCTAAGATATGAGGATGATACCATAATATTAGCAGAAGACATTCAGGAATTGGAAGTTAATAAGGAACATCAAAGATGAAAATGCAAAGGCAGGTCTGATGATAAGAAAACAAAAATAATTACCACAAAAAAACACACAAATTCAATCTAGGCAATCAGGAAATTGAAATAGTTAAAGAATTCCCATATCTAGGATCAAACATTGAGCAGGATGGAGACTGCAGTCAAGAAATAAGAAGACTAGGAATAGGAAGGGCAGCTATGAAAGAACTGGAAAAAATACTGAAGAGCAAAAATATACAACTGAGCACTAAAGTCAGACTCGTTCAGGCCATTGTATTCCCAATTACCATATATGGATGCGAGAGCTGGACAGTGGAGGAAGCAGACAGAAAGAAAATTAACTCATTTGAAATGTGGTGCTGGAGAAGAGTAATTAGGATCCCATGGACAAACAAATGGATTCTTGACAGATCAGACCAGGGCTCTCCTTGGAAGCAAAGATGATCAAGTTGAGACTATCGTACTTTGGCCAAATAATGAGAAGGCACAGATCACTAGAAAAAACAATAATGCTTGGAAAGGTAGAGGGTAGAAGAAAGAGAGGAAGACCACAAAACAGATGGATAGACTCGATCAAGGGGATTATGGGCAAGGGCTTGCAGGATCTGAGCAAAGTAGTGGAAGATAGGGATTCTTGGAGATGTCTCATCCACAGGGTCGCCATTAGTCGAAACTGACTCGAGGGCAGCTAACATCAATAATATCAAAGTAAAATGATTTACTCATTGTAATTGGAGAAATTATTAACTTAGATATGAATACTGAAAAGGGATGACCCCTGTCATAAATAATAAAACATAAGGGATTCAGTTGTTCCCCTCTGGACTTTGCAAGACATCTTATGATCATGCCACTGAATTTATTATTGAAATTTGCCAAAAAGAAAAAGGATGTAAAAGCATTTTCGCTTTAAAAGAAGCAGGCAGCTAAGAGTGCACCACATTTTAAAATAGATTCAGGGTCTCCCTCATGTTATGGAATATGGCATTGTTGCTGTCATCCTGCAAAATTTTGTTTGCAAAAATGCAGAGAAGCCAGTTTGACCTGCATACAACCCCTAAGACAAAGGGTGTTCTTTATCACTCATGGGTGCATTTAGTCAGTCAGTCAATTTTATTGATTCAATCTCACATCACAATTATAACTCATATGAATCAAACATGGCACAAAAGGTGAAAGAACATATGTGTGTTCATGGAATAATAACTCTAGATTTTTCAACAATGCACAATCAACTATTTTACACTTTGAAAAATGTTAGTTTCCTTATTGAGCCATTTGAAAGAGTTGATGTTGTGATCCAGAGAGCCTCTCACTCTTAGATTTCAAAGACATACATGTAGTCTCCTGCAGCATAAAAAGGAGGAAGGGAGGGGAAGAAAAAGAACATAGCAGCACCTTTAAGACTAACTGATTTTATTTGTTGTTATTTCCCTTCAAGTTGTTTCCAACTTAATGAACCCACTTTTTCAGATGTAGTATGAGTTTATCGCACACACTTTTCAGCCTGATGTGTGCATGGGATGGGATTGGGCTGGATGGGGAAAAACGGGTTTTACTGCACACGAAATTGCTGCTGCATTGCTGTCCGACCATCACCCATCCCCAATCTGGCCTCTGCTGGCCAATTTTGGTACTATGGAAACTTTCTGTACTACAAAAATTGGTCAGCAGAGGCTGGATCGGGGACGGGTGGTGATCAGTCGGCAGCGCAGCAGCAATTTCATGTGTAGTAAAACCCATTTCCACCGTTCCAGCCCAATCCCATCCCGTGCACAGATTGAGCTGAAAAGTGTGTGCGATAAACTCCATAGTGATATCAAAGCCTCAGATTAAAAAGGATATTTATACACCTGCGGGAGTGAGGTAGAATGCAATATGATCCAATAAGATGCCAATCATGTCCCTTGTTCTAAACTTTCAAAGGAGTAGTGAGATGATACAGATCTTTCAGATCATTACAGTGGTCAGTTTAGTGTCGATGTGTGAAAGCAATAAATCTGCTTACCAAAAGTCAGTTTCTCTGGGTTCAAAACTCTCTCTAGGAAGATTCCTTTTATTATATGTGCAGTAGTGAAGACTCTTGTAACAATATATGTAGTGTGCCATGAAGCCATTGTCTTTGTTCATACCTCTGCTAATGGATTGGAATTTGTGAATATAATTCAATTCAGTTCTTTCTTTTTTTTTTAGTCTTCCTTTGTCATTTTCTTGTTCAAGGATTGTGACCTGTCAATCCTGTATGTCCAGGAATGTTGAAATGGTCTGCAACTGGTTTTGAGGTATTGACATTTTTAATGTCAGATTTGTGTCCTCTTGCCTAGGGGCTATCCTGTTTGTCCAGTGTAGAGTGTGGAGAGGCATTGCTGACATAGGATATATCACATTGGAAGAAGAGCAAGTAAATGCACATCAATGTTAGGATAATTATTACAAGTCTTCAGAGAGTGTTGCATTTCAACAGAATGGGCTTTGTGTGCCTGTCAGAAAGTTCAGAGTGAAGATAATAGAATCTAGTGCAATGACATACTTGATGACCTAATTTCAAGATTGTGCTTCCTGGGTGCAAATTTCTGATTGCATAACATTGGCCTGAATTCAGTTGATAGTCCTAACTAGATTAAACCCACTGAGTCATGGATTTATCTAAGTGTTGACTCACCATTCTACAGTTGGCTAATAGGCCTTCTCTAGTTGTATTAATAAATAGGATTCAGAAAAGCCTATATCTTGCCTTTTTGACTTATATATCAGTAATTTTGTATACAAAAGGAGGACCAAATTTGACTTGGAAATTATATGCATTTATGATTTTGCTTGCAAGGTTCTTACTATCATAAACAGCACGTTAAAATAGTGACTTTGCATTCAGACCCATAATTTCTTAGCCTTCTTTGTAGAATAAATTCATAATCTAGCTAAATTGTTTTGCATGCCTTCAAGCTGTTTCTAATTTATACAACCCTAAGGCAACCTTATCACAGGTTTTTTTTGGCAAGATTTGTTCAGAGTGTCTTTGCTTTTGTCTTCCTCTGAGGCTGAGAGAGTGTAACTTACCCAAGGTCATCCAGTGAATTTCCATGCCTGAGCAGGGATTTGAACTCTGTTCTGCAGAGTCATAGTCCAGTGCTCAAACAACTATACCATGCTGGCAATAAGAAGAAATTGATTTTATTTCAAATGTTTTTAGTTTTGTTGTTGTGTGCCTTCAAGTTGTTTCTGACTTATGGTAAACCTGTTACAAGATTTTCTGAGGGTGAAAGTATGTGATTCTCTCAAGGTCACCCAATGGGTTTACATGGCCAAGTGAGTAATCGAACACTAGTCTCCAGAGTTGTAGTCTAACTCAGAAACCACTAATAATAATAATAATAATAATA